CCACATTGGGTTAGATCTTATTTTAGACTTTTTTTTATTTTTTTTTTCAGCTTGTTTTAAATATTTTTGTTTCTGCAAAAACATAGCTAGAGTTTTATACCATTTAAGAGTAATATCTTTAGTTTTGACAAACAGTCAATATTAACATATAGCAAAACAATATTAAAGAAAAAACATAATACAATTTAAACTTAATATGATCCAGAAAATTCTTATACAATTGCATAGTATTGAGAGTTTTGCGGAGGTATAAGGTTAAAAGAAATGATTTTAGAATCCTCAGTATACTTCTGACCTATTTGACCACTGCATTATGTACAAAAAACACAGTCAACCATTTTCATATTACTTTAAATTATATTAAAGTTTTATCAAAAATATTTTATTTAAATCAAAAAAAATCTGATTTAAACCAAAAAAACAGATTTTATTGATTTTTTTTTTAAAAATCGTGATTTTTTTTAAACCTATTTGTTTCAATGCGTTGCAACCTTAAGTGCTGCTTTTTTGAAACTTTGCTAGGTTTAAAGTTCTAATCCTATTTATTCCTTTAAAGAATTTATCAATTTCAGTTAAATTGGCTTTAACTTTTCTTATTTCTGAAATCCTGTAAAATACAGATTGATTTCTCCCTTGCTCCAGATCTAATCCTGAAAAATACAGACCAATTTCTCCCTTGCTCTATAAAATCTTAGAGCGAATTATGTATAAACGAACTTCGAATTTTCTAAATACAAATAATATTCTATATATTAAACAATTTGGATTTCAGCCAGGTTATTCAACAGACCATACCATTATTAACATCATTCGCAAAATATGCAAAGTATTAAACGAAAGTAAGTTTACCCACGGAAATTTTATAGATCTTAGCAAAGTTTTTGATACAGTAAACCATAGTATTCTTTTAAAATAATCAAAAGTTATGGTACTAAAAGCGCATATGTAGAATGACTCCAAAGTTATCTACACAATAGAAAACAAAACAAATCACATGAAGAAGGATTATCTGATTACCTGGCTATAACTTGTTCAATGTTCCCATAAATTGTTCGATGGGCCAATATTATATTTTATCTATGTAAACAAATTCCATTAAAATTAAACATTTTAACTTGGTTTTATTTGCAGATGATACGAATATATTTTATTCTGTTAAAGAAATCAACCTTTGACTTAAAATAGTAAACAAGGAATTTTTAATTCTAAATTTAATTAAAATTAAATTTAATTAAATTTGAATTTAATTAAATTTAGAATAAAATTTATATAAAACTAAGTATACTTTTTTCATAGATTTTAAAATAAATAAAATATTCCATAAAGATGATAGAAAATAAAATTTAAAAAAACATTTGGATACTAAGCTAAGCATTTTTTTTTAATTAAGAGGGTAAAGAAGGCCACTACAATCGAAAAGGCAACTTTTTTGTGGTTGCAATCTTCTCAACACTCTATAACTCCGAAACACGAATCTTGACAAACACGGTTGCTGCGCGGAGAAACAACTTACATTTATTTTACAAAAACTGCTTTAAAATCTTGTATTTCTCCCTTATGTATTGTTATCTAATTTATGAAAATATTGCATGGTGCAGCTCTAATGTAAGTAACTTTAAAATACTATTTAGTAGACAAAAATAACCCGGTCAGAATAATTTCAAGTGCAGCTCATTCATGTACATTCTAAAAAACTAATTAAAAATCATCACATACTTAATTTTTTTCAGTTAAATCTTTATCAAATTCTTACGTACAAACTTCGTGTTAGAATAACTCCTATATTATACCCTACAAGATTTTCAAATTACATTTATGAGAAGCCTAAAATGCACTATTTGGTTTCCAAACATTCTATTGCCGTCAGAGGTCCTAAATTATGAAACACTTTATTATAAATTATGGAACGCTTTATTATAAATTATGGAACACTTTATTATAAATTATGGAACTCTTTATTATAAATTATGGAACGCTTTATTATAAATTATGGAACACTTTATTATAAATTATGGAACTCTTTATTATAAATTATGGAACACTTTATTATAAATTATGGAACACTTTATTATAAATTATGAAACACTTTATTATAAATTATGAAACACTTTATTATAAATTATGTAACACTTTATTATAAATTATGGAACACTTTATTATAAATTATGGAACACTTTATTATAAATTATGGAACACTTTATTATAAATTATGGAACACTTTATTATAAAACGAGCTGAAAAATGTTCTACTCTTCCTCAGTTCAAACAAAACTGAGACAAAAATTTATCTACAATGCAAATAGATTAAATTCATATAGATTTTTTTTTAATTTTGTATCCTTATATTTTTTTATTTTAATAATAAACTAATTAACGTGTCTCTAATTTAAATTTTCTTTAAATTATCCAATTAACTTATCTTTAGTTTTAGATGCGATTATTTTTTTTATTTTCGATTCAGGATTTTCTTTTAATTATAGATTAGTACCTCATCTTAAGTTAATTGTAAATATTTGTATAAAATTTTTTTTTAGTACAAAGTAATTGTATGTTTACATTATAACGGTTTACACGCTTGCTGATGAAAGCACGTCGGCGCCTAGTGATAAGGCATATAATTTCTTAATTTTAGCCCCAGTCATGCATAAAATAATAGTTTTTTAATGTATAAAACAAATAAAACAAAACAATAAAAGAATATTTTAAAGGTTGAGAAAAATTTTTTAAATTTAAATAAATGTAAACTAATTTTAAACATAAAATATTTTTATATTTAAAATTTTTATTCTCAAACTGTTATTAAGGTGGTACATACCCATCAAATCAAAAAATCAGAATAACACAATGCACAACAGTTTACTTTTTTTTATTTTATTCAAAACAAAATATTTCGAAAAAATTAAATCAAAAAAAATAGTTTATCAAACCTTTTTGCCTCGATTAATAATATAAAAAAGGGTTATTTTATGACATTTTGTAAACATAAAATCTGAAAAACTAAAAGAATTTGAGACTTCAAATTTTTACCAGTTCTTTATTGTATAGAAATGCAGGAGTTGAATCAAAACTAAGTTATAATATAAAATATTTCAAAAAAAATTTATATTTGTTACTCATTGACATTATTTTCTATAGTAAATGCTCAATAAAAGTGCCATAACATTTTTTGTATAAAACATTAGTTTTGGTTCACCTCCTGCTATTAAAACTAAAAGATGTACTTAGAAAATTTCAACCTAAAAGCTTATGTGGATCTTGAAATATCATGTTTTAAAGTTGACAAAATCGCTAAAAATTAAATACTGAGAAAAACGCAGAAATAAAACTAAACTAACAAAAAAACTATGATTTTATTATTATGAGCCTGCTAAATAAGCTGGCATAATGTCATTCTCCTTCTCTTTATCAAGGAATGTTTTTCTGATGGCTCCAAATTTTCTTCTTTTCATTATGCCTTTGGTTGATGACTTTCTATGAATGTTCTTTATGCGGTCTGTATCACTTTTTCTAAACGCATTTAGCATAAACTTTTAAACTAGCAATCCAAGTATTTGTATTATTGGTGTTAAATCAGATTTACCATCATTAAATTAAATAACGTCAGAGCAAATGCATATTTTAAGAAGTTTTCTAGATACAAATATCTTCTTAGGACATTTTTTCCACATCATACTGTTTAATCATTTGTTTCTATTTTGAGTTTGGCCATGCAAACATTTTAACAACAACGAATCTGTTGATAAGTCATGCCAAACTAGTATTAATAAATATTTATTTGCAAATGGAAGGCTCAAGTTTCTTTTATAGGTTTTTTTACCTGTTATTTTGCCAGCCTTCCATAAACACCAGCTATTTTTGCTGCGTGGACAAACCTGATGACAAAAACTTTCATCAAAAAAGTTTGTAATGTGGAACAATGTTGCCCATAAAGATTTTTTCATTAAATAAATGTTACAAATATTTTGCCTGACATCCCTACCAAAAAAATTTTGAAGAATATTGATAGCTTTTTCACTGAGTCTACCTATTCCATTAGATATCGTTTTAATTTTATGAGTTATGTGAATATTTCTGCAACAAGTACCTACGCATTTTTGAATGTGTCCAATATTTTCTAGCTTGGTAATTGAAATCGCTCCGTAAGGTTTAGATAGTTGTACTTGATTAAATAATTTATTGTCATGCAAAAACATTAGTAATACTATTATAGGCTTTTAAAGAAATAGGTGGTGGCATATTTAATAATGATCTAAAACATTTAATAGCTTTATGTCCTCTACCAATTTCTCTAAATGCTATCACCATCAGTAGCGGATTAAGACTTCTTGAGGCTCGGGGCTATTTTTGTTTATTGGAGGCCTTTTTCATGGGCCAGAGCCTAAAAACGACTTAAAAAAAGAAAAAAAAAAGGTTTGCTTAAATTTTTGGGTACCCCTAATTTTGCGGGACCCGGGGCTATAGTCCCCTTAGCCCCCCCCCCCCTTAATCCGGCACAGATCACCATTGACTGCAAATAATTTATTGCTACTATGTTTTGTGACATTGTTTTTGTTTTGAACATAAGAAATATTTTTTGAAGCTTAAAATGTTTGATGCCATCGACAAGAACTTGAGGCACATGATCAAGTTTTAGTTCTAAACAAATTCCTTGTCGCCTAATTTCATTATTTCCAAACTTAATATCATTTCCACAGTCAGAGAAACTAGCTACTTTTTCAACTAGAGATTTCAATAAACCAAAATTAATAATATTGTTATAATCATCTTTGTCTTCAAGAACTATAAGATTGAATTTTATTTTTTATGAACTGGAGTTACTTGCTGATTGTAAAGAACCTGATGAAGAGTTTTGTTTATATATATATATATATATATATATATATATATATATATATATATATATATATATATATATATATATATATATATATATATATATAATGTTAAAATTTTTTCAAAATCGTTTTAAAAATTAAGTTTTCTTGTAAACTTACATTTAGGTTCATGTGGAAAACTGCGAAAATTTACCTCTTTATTGTGTAAAGGAATGTGGAATGAAAGTTTTGCGTAAAGAGGTTTAATTTAAAATCAAAATAATTGTTTTATATAAAAAGTATATATTTTATCCCAGTAAACACATGAGACGTTAAAAACAGCTAAACAACGTCTTTTTTCCGAATAGTTTTTTTTAACGTCTTTTATACTTTTTATACCCTTTTATTAATATCTTTTGAACCTCACGTGTTTACTGCGACATTAAACGCAATAAGGTATATTAATTCTTTATAAAACTATTTATAGATGTCTTTCCATATTACTAGTATTTGTGCTAATACACTGATTCCATGTCAATATTTGAACATTGGATGCAATTTCAAGGTAAGAGAATAAGTTTTTTGGAGTTGAAACACCATTAAAGTTGAAATTTCTCAAATAATTAAACATTAATAGGCGAAATATATCAGCAATATATCATGGTTAATGGTAAACTTAAACCGTATTAATTTTAACTGTTCTCTAACCTCTACATTAGGGGATTTTCATTAGGATTAGGTACCGTAAAGGTTTCAGTTTTAAAAATTAAAAAAAGTCTAACTGATCAATAAATCAATATTTTCATTTAAAAATTGTTGTTCAAGCCATAGAAACAAAAATTATTCAGGAGGGAGGGGGGAATAAATACTGCCCCGAAAGAGTTTAAAGGACTTTTTCTATTATTTATTTTTAGTCATTTTTTTAGTCAATTTCTTCAAAATTATTTATTCGAAAATTATTGGGGAGGCAAATGCCCCTGCTGCCCACCCGCTTGCTACGGGGCTGTTCAAAAGTATTGAAATTTCTAATGAATAAGTTTTTAGAGCGTGGTGAAGTGTGTGCACATTCAAGCTAGTTTTATAGACTAGACGCTTTAGTTATAAATACATTTTTATAATGACTTTGTTTTGGAAAGCAGTATTTTATTTTTTTAGGTAATCCAAACTTCTAAAATTATATATCCACTTTTCTAGAACGCAAATTGTTTTTTTAACTGTGTTGTTACTGTGGCTTCTTTTTTAACTTAAATTTATAAGTCTAAACAGAAGATATAGTAAGACTAGTTTTATTAAAACAAACTCGTTCAAAAAGATTAGCAGACCAATATCAAAGTGGATGCAAACAGCGCCTTCCTGGAGAAATAAAATTGAAAACTAATTTAAAAAAAAGGTTGTCTTCCAAAGCAAGAATCATTATTTTTTATATACATTAAAAGAGTTTATTTTAAAACAAAATAAGTAACCATCACCTAAAAATTATATTTTGATTTTGAAATTTTTAATAAGATTCCGTAGTTGGAGACATTAAAAGTAAGTAATGGACATTTAAAAGTAAAAAACATTATTTTATTTCGCTACGCTTGATATTTAAAAATTTAAAAACGTCTACTATTTTCTGTAATACCATTTTCTAGCTTACACCACAAAAACACCTTCTTTTTTTTTTTAAAGATTTATTATCGTGAAAACTTATTATTATGAAAAAAAAGTTTTTATACAAATATATTACGTATCAGATTGATAAATATACATATCTATAATATTGATGCATTAATATAATATCGATATAAATTTTAATATAAGTTTGGAATAATATCTATTACTAAAACTAAACTTGTCATGCTTTATAAAAAAGTTGCATATAATGCCATGTTGCTTATCACCTGAAAACAACGTGGATGACTATGCTGAACAAACAAGATCAAGTATAACAACTGTTCTTGATCATTTAGCACCCATTGGAAAAAATTCAATGCGAATTGGTAAACATGATGATAAATGGTTATCTTCAGATGCCAAGAATAAAAAATCAGACGAAAAACTGGTAGTTTATCAGATAAAAAATTATAACGAACTGCATGCCGTGAGGCTGCAGCAGCAATTCACAAATCCAGATGTAGTCATTATAAAGCTAAACTAAATTTAGTATACGGTTATCAAAAAGAAACAAGGAATATTGCCAATAAATTGATACATTCGAATAGTTCTAAATCTATATAACACAATACCCGAAGCAAAATGCGATATAATAAGTCAATATTTCATAAACAAACTCGAAATTTTAAAGAACACTATTCAATGAAAAGCTTGCAAAAACCCCAATATCTAAATTTATCTCAGAATTATCTCCCCCTGTAGATATATTAACAACATTTGGTACAGTCACACCTGCAGATGTGTCAAAAATAATCAAAACTCTCAAACCTAAGACATCACCACTTGATATTATTCCAACAAACATCCTTAAATCTTGTTCAGAAATATACAGTCCTATTATAGCTCACCTTGCTGACCTCTCATTCAAATCCGGAATTTTCCCAGCCTCATATAAAGTTGCTTAAATAACACCAATTCCAAAAAAATCTTGACTAGCAGAATTTGACCTAACAAATCTACGCCCCATATCAAATCTCAATACAATTTCGAAAACTATTGAAAAGCTTGCTTGATCTCGTCTTCATCTACACGTAACATCATCTGTCATTTTAAATCCTCTACAATCTGGTTTTAGATCACTCAAACAAAACAGCACTCTCAAAGATATGCAATGAAATCCTGCTAAACATTAATGATTGTTTGACCACTTTCTGCTATCTGGACATATCTTCAGCATTTGATACAATCGATCACAGCCTGCTAACTACCCGTGTTAAGAATGAATTTGATGTCACAGCTATTGTATTAAAATGGGTAATATCATACTTGTACTCTCAGAAATCTTTTGATTCTATTGGATCATCAAATTCTAGACTAATAGCAAGTTCAACAGGACTACCACAGGGTAGTGTATTAGACCCATTTCTATTTTCCACGTTTGTTTCACCTGTATATCATATTATAGCTAAATTTGGCACAAATCATCATCAATATACTGATGATACCCAACTTTATACTTTCCTCAGCCCTGGCAAAGATAGCACCAACAAAATCACTGAGTGTGCTAATGCAGTAACAACATGGTTTCTAGAAAACAGACTTCTGCTTAATCCAAATAAAACAGAAGCTATTTTATTTGGATCTAGAAAACAAACTAGCAAATATAAAAATGATTCAGTAAAAATCTTTGTAGTTACCCTAGATTCAAAGCTCTCTATGGATAAGTACATAAGCAATATTATTAAATCCTGCAATTACCACAATCGTGCACTTCACCACATTCGTCCATGTCTTACCAAAGAAGCTGCAAATGTAATTGCTCGTGGCATCGTTAACTCTCAGCTTGACTATTGTAACAGCATTTTATCTGGCATTTATCAAAAAAATCTTAAAAAACTCCAACGAATTCAAAATAACTTATCTCTTATTGATTTCCATTCTCCTTTCCATTTAAAATCAGAAATATTGCTGAAATCTCTTCATTGGTTACCAATACATCAAAGAATAACCTATAAAGCATCAGTTTTCACTTATAAAATTTTATTATCAAAATCTTCAGCATATTTATTTGAACTCCTAGAAGTTCGAACTTCAAAACAAAATACAAGATCATTAGACAGTTGCCACACACCTTACACGTTGTCAACAAAAAACTTCTCAGGGCTAAAAATCTTTTTGTATGACCTCGAATTTGGAATGGTTTATCTTTGAACACACGAAACTCGACTTCTATATAAACATTCAAAAAAAGACTAAAATAAGAACTTTTTATGAATTCTTTTTCAAACTCATAGTTTTCATGTTTAGTGCTTCTGAATTACTTCATCACTATTGTGATTGTTGTAAATAATGGCACTTTAATCTCTAATTACTATTATTATTATTATTATTATTATTATTTCTATTATTATTATTATTATTATTGTTATTTTATATATTATTTGATAACCGTATACTAAATTTAGTTTAGCTTTATTATTATTATTATTATATATATATATATATATATATATATATATATATATATATATATATATATATATATATATATATATATATATATCCATATATATAAATATATATATATATAAATATATACATCTATATATAAGTATATATATATACATATATACATATATATATATATGTATATTTATATAAATATATATATATATATATATATATATATATCCATATATATAAATATATATATATATAAATATATTTATATATGTATAAATATATATATATATATATATAAATATATATATATCTATATATAAGTATATATATATATATATATATATATATATATATATATATATATATATATATATATATATATATATATATATATATATATATTTATTTATATAAATATATATATATATATATATATATATATATATATATATATATATATATATATATATATATATATATGTAAATATATATATATATATATATATATATATATATATATATATATATGTATATGTATATATATATATATATATATATATATATATATATATATATATATGTATTATATATATATACATATATATATATATATATATATATATATATATATATATATATATATATATATATATATATATATATATATATATATATATATATATATATATATATATATATATATATATATATATATGTGAAACAAGACAAGGATTTTCACAATAGCATTGTGGAACTCTTTGTCTTGTTTCATTAATTTAACACAATGATCTATTTTTGAATATATAAGAAATATGAAATATATAAGAAATATGAAGAAAACTGACAATAATGATGAAAAACTTTTCGAATTCGATTCCATTGAGGAATTCCATTGGAATGATAAAGAAAATACACATTGTCATTGGGCCATTTACTTTACAATTATTCACTTTTACTACAGTGTGAAATTTTGTCCATAAACTGTTTGACAAACTCTCTCGACGTTATTGGAAGTTACAACCTTTTGCAACTTTTCATCAGCTTTTGCCCAATGGATTTGCAATTCGGTTGAAACTTTTGTTAGTCAATGTTAGCTTCAATATAAAAAACGAGTAAAGCATTTTTGAGGGAGGTTAAAGTTGCGTTGATTTTTCGGATTTGTCTCGGACTCTATTATTTATGCTATGCTAACTTAAAAGTCTTTCTACAAGCATAGCTAATTGATTTGTGCTTTCTTTTTGCTTTTGGAACTTCTTAAATGATTTATGTTTAAAAATTTCACTGATTTAATAATTGTTATGAATGCTTTGTAAAAAGTTTGTTCAAATTTTAACTCTGAGAATACAAAAGGGAGAGATTCGTTCCATTTGTACAAACTTATGCATGACAATGAAAAAATAAATACTGAAAAACTTTTTCCACTTATTAAAACGTGTGGTTTGCTTTAGGGCTCTTAGAGCTGCACTTATGTAAAAGATGACTCCTAAAGCGGCAATTATGTTAAAAAAGAAATGCTCCCTCTTAATAATAAAGAGCTTTTCCTTTTTAACAGAATTTTAGATGTATGGAACTAAGTTTCAATTAAAGAATTAACAGCAAAAACAGCTTTTCATTAATAGCTAAGTAGGAATCAAACATAACTGCTGTAATGCTATAACAAATAGAGTGCAAAACAAAACATTTACTGGTTCTGCCTAACAGCATAAACTACTACTACTGTTACTATTAACATGTACTTAATTAACACGTTCATATTAATATTTTACATATGTTATTTAATTACAAATTGTAAATATAGGTCAACGAAAGCAGGTGATGCTGCTTGATTTTTTGGAATTACCTAAAATAATGTAATTTACAATCGTTATTTTAAATACAGATGCCCTTTAAATAAGTACTAAAATCTAAGCCGTAAAAAGACTAAAAACTAACTCTAGAACATATAGAGTGTTTTTGATTACCAATAAGTGATGTGGCATATTATCAATATATTCTGCAAGATATTCGTAAAAATATGTCATCAAAAACAAATAACTTACTCGTTAATTTTATTTTAAATGCAATTTTGTTTTTATTTATTATTTTTAATTGAAGCTAACGATAAAACAAGTTTAAAATTTCATTTACTTGATCTTACCATTTTTTTAAATGCTTTTTCACATATCTTTCAGCCATCTTGAAAGTAATAATCAATTCTTATAAGACGTTTCCCGGCAAAGTAGTATGAATGTTAAGCAACTTGTAATTCACATCATAGCATGACAAATTTTTGATATCATGATAATACCATAATCTGAGTTTATAAATCAAAACTTACTATTTGGGCATTAAAGTGAAAAACTTGACTTTTACTGGGCTTTATAACTAATATATGAAATTTTTGCTATAAATTAACTTTTTTCCTCAAAATCATAATATCACTATGATACCATAATGATATCATTATATGATATCAAAGCTTGAGAAGGTTTTGATATCATTTTGATATCACATTGATATAGCGTCTTGACTGGGTAGTTTTGCTATTTCGATAAAGCACCTCTTGCAATTTTTTTCTATTTCAATATTTGTATCTGTTCTATTTTAAAAGACAATAATGTTACAAATGTCATAAATTATTTTTTTTTTTGTATAAATTAAATGAATACTTTTTAGTTCTTCACAATACATTTGTTATTATTTATTTTAATAAACTTACATCTCAACATAAGACAAATTATACAACTAATAATATTATGTTAAACTGCGTGTAGTTTTCTCGTATCGTTATTTCAACTTTACTAACTTAAGCGCTAGAGCTTTTATTTCATTCAGACGATGATTCCTCGTGCGAAATTTAACTCTAAGGAAATAGTTTGGCATTTATTATAGTTATTATAATTACCTATTTTATTACTAATTTTTTAATTACAATTATTATAATTACCTATTTTGCAGTTGATAATCATAATATTATTATTTTTTTTTTAAGTTGATTAAGGTGCCCCAAACAGTCCTTACGGTCTCCTTCCCAACCGATGTCGCAAAACTTGCCCAGAGGTGGGGTTTGAACTACGGATCTTACGTTTCTGAGGCAAGTGCGCTACCACTGCGCCACGGCTATTTTGCAATTTTAAAGAATTATTTTTTTGTTGTTAATTATGTTTTTGTAATTGTTAATCAAAATTTTGCAATTGCTAATCATTATTTTGCAATTGGTAATTATTATTTTGCAATTGCTAATCATTATTTTGCAGTTGTTAATCATTATTTTGCAATTGTTGATCATTATTTTGCAAAAGGTAATTATTATATTCAGCGATTATTAGATTTTTTTTTTATATTGTCCAGATTGATTTATTTAGGCTGTTCGGAGGGAATTGATTTCGTAACAATCTTTACGCGCAAATGTATTTTCAACTTTGTAACTAAAAAGTAAAAACTATAAAAAAAAGTAGTTTTAAAATCATTAAGCACAAATATTTTAGTAATCTATAATTTAAAAGACATTGATGTTGTAATTTTTCGATGTTGTAAAATTTCATAATTTGATTTGGATGGTCAGCTAGAAATTTCGACTCTTTTTTTCTAAAAAACGAGAACCTATGTGTCGAAAATTCGGTAACGTTTTGCGTTTCTTTTTTTTAAGAATCTTTCACGGTCTTAAAAACAGTGATATAAATAAATCCATTCGGAACTCCGTCTAGTCGGATTATCTCGTTTTTTTAGAGTTTCGGAGTTATAGAGAAATCGAGAAACTTCGACGGAACTCCGACAAAGTTTTTAAAAAAACGTTTTAATTTTCAAACCATCTTAGTTTTTTTTTTTTTTATATATATATATATATGATGTACGCTGAAAAGGTTATAACGAAGCTGTGGATCGCACAGAAACTAAATCGGATATTGAAGCAGAAACTGATGGAGATACTAAAGGAGAATTAAAATTCTTCCTCACTTTTTTTTTCTTCATTTTGCAGTTTGCTTGGAAAAACATTGTGCAGCAATTTTGGAGTGTGAAATTGTAATGTAAAAATTAGTTTTCAAATTAAAGATTGTCAAAACTTACATCAGTTCTAAATTTCCAAAGCGTTAAACTCTAGATACGAAAATCATAAAAACATTATGTTATATTCAACTTTTTAAAAATATAAACCTAACATTTTTTCACGCTTCAATAAAAAATGTTCAAGTTTCTGCTAAAAAAATATTTGATCAAATATTTGCAACAAAAGAAAATAGTCTCCGACCAAATTTAGAACTAGCCGTCCACAGAATTCAAGCCATTTTTTAGGTAAAACCAGTTCGCGAAAGAATCCTGATAAAAAAAATATTTAAGAACAAAGAAATGAAAAAGTATATATATGTTTTTAAATTTGTAGTGAGTGATGAGTTGAAATATCTCCGATTTTTTTTCTCAATTTTGGATCTTTGAAGTAATGTTTATGTTGAGTGGGTTAATATTCGTAATAAACAAAATAAAAGGTGATGTCATGCTCTTATTTGCACAGACATGCATATATAGGTATAAATTTGTCGGAAGACAATGATTTATTTATAACAAAATGCTAAGCACTAAGGGAAAGAAATGATTTAGATTGGAGAAAGTAATTTAAAAGAAAAATAAATCATCCGAAAGTATGAAAAATTGAATGAATTGTAAAATTCAATTAATTTGCATATAAAAATATATTCATTACTCACAAACTAATTCACATAATTTATCAGCAAGTAAAAGAGAGAGGTTTAATAAAATGTATAATTTTTTGTTAAAACAAAAAATATTTAAAGAATTCAATGCAATAAGAATAAAGACGGTAGTTGTAAATCAACTACAACAAATACTCCATTAACAGATTCTCCATCAACAGATACTCCATCAACAGTTGAATTAACAAGGAGTTCTAATAAATTTACATCATTAAAAGCAGCTAAACAGTTAAAGATACTAGGTTAGTAGAAATTTATATAAATACTTATAAAAATGAGTTTGAAAGACAATCGCAATCAAAATTGAAAAGCAAAAAATTTATAAATCTTTAAAAATAGATAATAGTTTTACTTAAAAAGGTGAAATAATTTTCACCTAAGAAATTTAAGTGAACAACTCCTTTTGTTATGGAACTGTCTATCCAAGCAGCACATTCCTATAAGACAACATCAAAGTAATCTTAAAATTGTTAAACTATTGTTCCGATGTTGCCCCAAAATTAGTGGGCTGCTTTAATTTGAAAAAAATGCTATAAATTTATAAAAATAAATCATAGTTTTTAAAATTATTTATTACTAATAACGATCCAGACAATCAACTGTTTTTGTAACAAATTGTTGTTTAATAAAAAAAATGTCTATATTGATGTTAAACCTTACACAATATGTTTTTTCATTTTAAGGTTTACTTTGGTTCTCTATTTTGTATTTGTTAGTTTTTGCTCATTCACAGAGACGATTTTAGGAGGAGAATGGTGTCTACCTTAAACCCCAAAGAAAGATATTTTCAGGATATAGTTAGAATAAAGTCGGGTATTTGACACAATTCAGTTGTGTGAATTTAAGAATTTGGCAACCTTTTCCATTTTATTTTTCAGAAACCAGTCGGTACATTTTAAGGATTCACGCCAACACCCTTCATTTTGTTTGTAGAATCGAGTTTGCTCATTTTAGTTCTTAACTTTTGAAGAAAAGTAAAAAAAAAAAGGATAAAAAACACGTCACCCGCAAATTCAAAAAACGGACACTGGCCTTAAACTACCTGAGCAGTAAGAAGTTTAAAAGATTGCATAATGACAACGATAGTTTTTATTTTGAAAATATATACACATGCTTGCATATCTTTATGTTTAATCTTTGTTTAGGTGGATCTGAGCGATATAGGCAAAATTTTAACTTAATTTGTATTTATTTAGTTGATTTTTTATGTAGGGAACGAGAAAAGAACAAGATACTCACGCCATTTCTTCAACGCAAAGTCATCTTTTAATGGCAATATCAAAAGTGGTTACGCTTGAAAATAAAATTACATCAACAATGAATACATTTGAACAGAAAATTACCTCAAAAGTTGATGCACTTGAAAATAAAATTATGTTAGTTGAGAAAGAATTAGAAAGAAAAAGGGTCATTTTCAAAAATGAAAATAATCATGAAGCAACGGAATCGGTAAGAAAATGATTTAAATAAAAAAAAATTTCAAATAATTAAAATAAAAACTAAACAAATAACTAATACATACTAATTGCACCATGCGATAAAAACCCGCGAATTTTTTTTTTATTTTTTTCATTCATTTTATTTCGCTTTTTAAAATAATCTTTACAATGTTTTACAACATAACAATATATAGTTTTAAAAAATTCCGACTGGTGCTGGCAGAAGACATGGTCTTATCATCCAGCCCCTTTGTTACAAATTTTGATATAATGTTGTACATAATACACATTTTTTTTTTTTTTAATTTTTTATATATATATTTTTTTTATTTTGTTATTTCTGATTTATTTTTTTCTTTACGTCAATACAATAACATAACTTTGAAATCCATACATGTTAAAGAAAATACTTAATGAAAAAACTAAATAAAAAGGTATTGCGTCATTATATAAGATATTTAATAATTAAGGTTAATTAATAGTTTTAAAAGTAAGTTAATAATTGATTATAATCAAAATTTAATATGTATTGTTTTATTGCACGTTTAAAGTGTATAGTAGTTTATATTACTTGTTAGAATCAAAACTGATAATGGTAAGTGCTTGGTAGTAGTAGATTCTTAAATTTAAAATTACTGTTATGTCGTTATTTGACTTACACTTGTTACGTTGGGGTTTATACGGACTCCAACTAAATAGTTTTAATAAGATAAAACGTTCTTTAAAAAGAATTTTATTCTGTTTCACCAAAAGTAATACATAACTTTGTTATTGACAAAAAAAAAATTCTTATATATTTATATATGTATGTATATATATATATATATATATATATATATATATATATATATATATATATATATATATATATATATATATATATATATATATATATATACGCAGTATCAGGAATTAGCTAAATGCTAATATTTATAATAATATTTGCGACTTAAAGTTTCATGTGTTACCTCAATCATTAGGCAAGTAGTCAAAAGTTAATTTTGCTACAATGTGTTTAGAAAAAATTTACGGTTTATATTAGTATTTTAGATCGTTATGGGACGGAAACTGTTTAGTAGTTAAGGTTAATGTTATTATTAATTTGTTTTTGGTTAATATATGTGAAGTTGTTGATTGTTTTAATGTTTGTTATAGAAATACGATTTAATAATAATGTGAATTGTTTTTAAAAATTATTGTATTAAAAATAAATGAATATAAAAATAAGTTTCAAAAGTGGGTATAAGAATATAAATTATGTTATTATTAATTTGTTTTTGGTTATTATATGTGAAGTTGTTGATTGTTTTAATGTTTGTTATAAAAATACGATTTAATAATAATGTAAATTGTTTTTAAAAAATATTGTATTAAAAATAAGTTTCAAAAGTGGGTATAGGAATATAAATTATATTACGAAATATATTACAAAAGCTGTGTATGTGAATAATTTATTGGTTAGCTTAGAGGTATACGAAATAGGGTTGCATAGTTAATGTTAGTGGTTAGTTAGGTTTGTAGCGAGCTTTGTAGTTTTTTAATAAAAACTTGTTTTCGTGGCGGCACTTTGATATGATTTCGTTTCGTTTATTTAGGAGTTCATCAGGTTTAGGATAGGATATAATTGCGAATTTCTCGTATAGACATAGTGGGCACCTTTTGGAAATATTTGAGGAGGCGCATACAGATTTCAGAATAGACCATGTTAATATTGGGGTTTCGTTAAAATTGTTTTTTAAATCCCAGACGTAGTTTGATAAGGCGGTGGACTTTTTGTATTTAACATAATAATGATTTGTGATTGTTGTATCTGTTATATATATATATATATATATATATATATATATATATATATATATATATATATATATATATATATATATATATATATATATATATATATATATATATACATATATGCATGTATGGTTTACTTTGAACAGTGTTCACAAAGAATTTTGCTGTGTGTACATCATACGAAATTGTTACATTTATCACAAGTACTTTGATATTTTTTATCAACACAGAACTTTCATCTAACACAAAACTTGCATCTACCTCGTTTTCTTTTTACACCAAAACTACTAATATTTTTTGCTTTATTTTCATCATTGCTAATTTTTCTGTTCTTTTGTGGCTTGTTGAACGACATCAAAGAACCTTCTTCAACATTTTGTGATGAAATATTTGTAAGTGACTCGCAAATAGAATCGTGTAACTTTTAGGGCAAATTTGGAAGTATTAGTCTCGACTGGAGCTGGTTTGCTATCAGAGGTTTCTTAAGTTCTTTTAAAAACTGAATTATAAAAAATAGACGAATGAATAATAGATTTTATAAGCTTATATAAAGTATTGCTATATTTATAGTTACCTCAGGGTCATTCTCTTTGTAGAAAAAGTATCTACTCCCCCTTTTGTTGAGTTATAGTCCAGAATTATCTGCGGTTTTTTTTTAAAACGGTTTGATAACACTGCATCACAATAATTGCTATTCAGCAGAATGACTGACTTTTCCTTCTTTGGAATATATAACACTAAAGTTAAGTGTTCTTGGTGACCAAACACTGAAGAGTAGACTTCTCGTGTTCGAGCAGGTAAAAATTATGTAAGATTTTTTTTTTTTATTTTTGCGCATTGTTCCAACTAGACTTAACTTTTTCTCCAAAAGTTCTCGTGCAAGTGTGACTGATGTGAAAAAGTTTTCCGTTGTAACATTTCTTCCAGATCCTTTTATGACTTCATCTAAATCATGTACTTCTCATTGTCTTTGATTTTTTTTAGGCCCTTTCCAGTAACACGACCAGTATAAATTTGTGCATTTAAGACTTAGCTGGTATTACACAATAACTATAGCTTTAACCCATATTTAGCTGGTTTGGATTTTTTTTATTTTCGAAAAGAGCAACGTCCACTAAATGGAACCAGCTGTTTATCAACAGTAACATTTTCATATGGTCTGAAAATATTTGAAAGTGTTTGTACCCAATGGTCAAAAACCTCACAAATAGGTGCAAATTTGTCATTGCTGCGTTTTAATAATCAAGTTGTATATAATATATATAATATATATATATTTCGCCATAAAGAAAATATTTACAAAATTAGACTTTAAAAACTGTATATACACGGCTGGGGCAAGAAGAAGACAAATTCAGTCTTATCGCCAAGCCCCTTCAAACAAGAATACAAGTAACAAACAAAACAAAAAACCAAAAAACCAAAAAAAAATCCGTTATCACAATATAATATATGCGTAAGGTACATATATAAATACAAATATCTAAATATTTTTCATTAAAATTTAATATTTTTTTTTTAAGTTTTTTCTTTTATTAGGATTTCAAATTTTAATAGTAAATAAAAATGAGATAAAACATGATAATTTAAGAAGGTAAAGATTCAAATTAAAATCAAAAATTAATATGTTAAAAATAAATAAAATATCAAGTAAAAAACAAGTGATTACTCCTATTTAAAAGTTTCAAAAGAAGTTAAGTTCATTGTCAATTATCAAGAGTTTACTTTTTATTTTTTTTATTTTTTGATCAAGGGAAGAAATTTTTTTAAACTCATTATCCAATAGGTTGTTTTATCTCAAAACTCTTGAAATAGTATAAAAACGCTCGCAACTCAGTACAGAACGAAAAATCTGCCGGCCATCACTAATGTCTCATAGCTCATCTGTAACTTCACCTGCTGATCAGTATAATCCTGCCGAAAATAAAAGTCCATGAAACCCATTTAGTTCATGCTCAGATATTAGTGCCCACTTTTCTTTAAAAATAGTTTCACCTTCTTTGTTTGATTTAGTTAGAACTATATTGAAGATCATTGGGGTAAAAAATAGTTGAAAAGCAGCATTTATTGAATCTGTCATACGTATTGCATTTGTTGTTAAACCTGGTTTTAATTTCATGACATTTTGTCCTACATATTTTTTAGAATTTTTTAGTCGCTGTTTTTGCCATATTTCATTACTTTTTGGATACTTTTAACATTTGTCGTATTGCTAACTTCCACTACAGTTTCTACTACTTCATTAGATTTACCTGGACTTATTTCCTCAGCTCTATCATTATGTATATTTCCTATTCCAAATACCTGATTTGCATAACTTATTCTCCCTTGACTGTTTGTACCATAAATGCTGCTAGTGTCTCTAACTCCGCCACGTGTTCTACATCTTCTAGCTCCTAAAACTGGTGTTAATTTATTTTCTACTTTTGAAATTGCAGGAGTATCTACTTGAAAATCAGCATCATCTGATGACTCAGTATCTTCTGAACTGTCTGTTGTTGCTTAAACAACTTTATCTTCCTTCTTTTTTATCATCAGATGTTAACTCTTCTTTACTTAATGGATCTCTATCAAGCAATTCAAACAGTAGTTCCTGTGCCTGTTCAGCGGTGTCTAATGCAAACTCTTTTTTTTTTGTTTTCAGCCATAAGTTCAATTATTTGTTATGAGATCTAAATTTTTTTAATTTATTTTAAAACTTCAAAGACAAAGATTGAGTAAGTTACAAATAAAAAAATAAAAACAGTTTTTAAAAGCATAAGTTATGAAAAACTATTAAGTTTATATCAATGATGCTGGGGTCCATATAGACCCCAACATCATTAATTTATATTATGAAAATAACTTAAAAAAGAAGCAATGTCCAAAAATAATTTTTTGGTCTTTGTGCATCCTGTGATATTTAACAGATACATAAAGTTTTGATAAAAAAATACTAACTACATAAATATATAATGCAAAAACAAACTACTCGTAGAGTCTGTTTGGACCCCAACGTAATAGTAGGGTTAAATAATAAAAGTAGTATGTTTTGTATGTCAAATTTGGTAATTATAGCTACATACATTATGCGTTTTTATACTATTATTTGGTTCATCATCAAAAAAGAGTCTATGATTTTGTATATATGCAGTACAACTAACAAACTACGGTTAGATGTCGTAGTAGATAAGTTATTTTAACAAATGTTGTAGAGCGTTGTGTAAAGATGGTGACAGCTGTTTC